GTTTAGCGTTGGCACAGAGAACCAGGATTTTGCTTTTATCCCCAGAGCTTAACCTTGTGCCACTGAGCTAACGTTTGTGTTTGGAGGTTACTTCATTGAGTGCTGCTGGAGTGTACCTTGAGATTTCCTAAGTAGGGTGTGGGAAGAGGTGCAGATAGAAAAACAAATTAGAAAGCAATGCTGTCGACCTATAACAAGGGTGTTAGTTCTTTTTTCCATGCCAGCATTTCAGCGATTGCATTGTACTGTTGCCCCTTGTGATACTTATATTCAGCTTTTGAGTAATGATCAGGGCGGGCCTGGCTTAAATCACTGCCGCCCAAACATTTTTCATACAGCGACACATACGTAAATGATTGATGTGTCACTGAGGAAAACTGGAAGCGACCCACAGAAAACAGCTGGCCTGGGAGCTGTGGCTGTGCCCAGTCCCCACCTGACCGCCCATCCACAGGCTGAAGAGATCCCTATCTGTGGCCCACTTGACTATGGGGAAGGTCAGCATTACACATTTAAGGTCTTTGTCCCTTCAAACTCTGCCTAACTATCAAGAGGAACTGTATCATTAGTTGTTTTGTTTTGTTTTTAACCAAAGCATGACATATATTATTCCTTGAAGGTAGCACATTTCTGTCTGAACATACCTGTTTTGGGTTTCCTTTCTTTTTTTACATTAGTGAAAGTTTCAGTTGTTCAGCATTGTAATTCAACATTTGTGTACGCTACAACGTGATCGCAACCACAGGTCTAATTTCCATAATTATTTGTGTTAAATCTGTCTCTAATCATTTTGCACTTGCGTGCCTTTATGCTCTTGGCTAGTTTATATCTAAAGACCGTACCTTTCCTTACAAAGTGGCCTTTTTAAAAGTGTATGAAAGGTAATTAACTGATAAAGAGATGGGAAATAATAAGCTTTGACCTCCTTAGATTATGGGCAGTCTTGTTCTGCCTATTTAGAGAAGATAGGAAATTTCTTTAAATAGCTTATTTTATGCTTTCCACTATAAAAATAATACAGAAAACGTGGAAAATACAAAAAGTAGAGTGGGGGAAAATCATTCACAGTTCTGTTCCCAAATACTGTTAATACCACATTTTTTCTCCTTTTTTTAGCATGCATTTTTTCTTAATTGTGGAAATTTTCAAATGTTTACAGAATAAACTCTTATAAACTCCTTGTACCCATCAGCCAGCTTCTTCAGCCAACCAGCCAGCACGGGGCCAGTCTTGTTCTGTATCCCACTTTTAATTCCCAGATGGTTTTGAATTAAATCCCATAAGTATCATTTCATCTGTAAACACTTGAGTGTTTATTCATAAAAGATAAGGACTAGTTTTCAACATAACCTCGATACAATTATCACACCTTGAAA